GAGGGATAGATCTGAGAGGGGCCAGATAATAGGGAGGATCTCAGAGGTGAGTCTGTTTACCAGGCGGTGAGGAAGCATTCAGGTCCCTCCCCCCACACACACCAGGCTTGGTATACTAGCACAGACTTTTTACTCTTTCTATTCCTAAACACCTCTCCCCACTGCTCAAGACAGGGGTTCACATGGGGACTGGCCTCTCGCCACTGGCGGCAGCCCTGGCTACCTCTCTGCCTGTTCACTGAGCTTCTCTCCGTTACTCTATTATACTGGCAGCTCCAGGCTGAGCCTGCTCAGCTTGGGAGCTGAGTCTGTATCCTCTATGGACTTGATGGCTATCCAGGTGAGTGAAAGCCACACCAGCATTCCTCCTTAAGCCGCAGGCCAGGCAGGCTGAGTTCTAGAAACCTGTGGTAAACCCCTTAAGGTAGGGAACCGGCCTGTGTGGTCAGTTTGGGACATGAAAGCCAGGTCCTTGGCATATCCACAGCCCCTCCTCTCCGCCTTGTGAATGCAGTTTTGAGTGTAGTGATGAGTATGTTGCAGGAACAGGTAAGGCTGTGAGTGAGGTGTTGCTTTCTTGGTTGAGTTGAGAATATCGCAATTTTGGCCCTGTATAAAACCAAAGAAACAGGTGCTCCTCACGTAGATGTAGATCCATGGTGAGCTCTTCCTATCATGCACTGCCCTTTCCATGCCAGGCACAAATGTCACTACTGCTTTAGACTGAGGCTGAGGGAAGAGAGACCCAACGCTTGGCAAAACCTGTAAGCTGACAAGTCACCAGGCGCTTATGCAAGTGATCCCTGGTGATGTTCATGGTGCCATGCTCGGCTGGTTACTTGCTGGCAAGGGGCAGCGGGGGTGGGGGGGGGGTGGGGAGTGGGTATCCCAGAGGTGCATCAGAGACCTTCCACTCCAATGTTTCCCCTGCCTTCAAATCCTCGTCTTTCTTATTACCATTTTTAAAAGTAATCAGTTTTCAGGGAAAGGATGAGGAGGCTGAGTTGGCTTTCACCCAGGAACTAAGGAGGTCAGAAAGGTGCTGCCATGCCCACAGCCCTGTGTCAGCCTCCAGGCCACTGGCCTAGCCTAGGCAGCAGAGGGCTGCCTCTTTAGCACCACTGTTTCTATAAGCTAATGAGGGCAGTGTGTGAGCCACGGGCAACGATGGTGGGATATTAGCTGTGACAGGAAGCTTGATCATAATTATCTTAACGAGGATAGGGTTAATTACAGTGGAAACTTAAAAGTTCCCCCTGTCTGATTCCTCTGGAGCCAAATGCACTGTGATGTTTTGTCATTTTGATGTGACTTTGAAAAAGGTGCTAGGACCCTTCCCAGGCTCGCCTCAAGCTTCTGAAAGAACCCAGGAAACAAGGTGCCCAAGATGGTAGCTATAGGTGTGGCCATGCCAGCTTCCCTCTCTAGTACAGAAAGATGGAGGCAGCCTGCAAGCTGATGCTGATGAAATTTGCAGAGCAAACCACCTGCTTCAAAGTGGTCCCTCCTGGGTCCTGTCCAGGAGTTCCTGGGTCCTACAGAGTGAGTGCCTCCATATCTCTCCACTGGTTTCTCCCAGGAGTGAGAACCCAGGACGCCCTCCAGCTTTCATCCCACACCTCTCAGGCCCTGCAGCTGCCACCCAGCACACAGCCCTGGAGCGACAGTCAGCGCTCCGTCAGGCCCTCGCTTTAGGAGGTGCCCTTTGCAGTTTGTCCGTTGTTATCATCTTCCCTGTAAGCTACATTGCCATTCCAAGGGAAGGAAGCACCGTGCCTGAACTTTTACTCTTTTTTGTCAACGCTGTCATTTTATACAACAGTGAATATCTACCTGCAGGGATCTGGTAGAGAGGGGTTGTGGCAAGAAACAGCTTCTTCCCGACCATTTCTTTTTGGGAAGACAACAACAATAATGGTAACTGAAAAAAATTTTTTCAGAGTGAAAAGTGAAGCCCTTTTCCACTGCCTGTGTGCTGGCTTCTAATATGTCATTGCAACTCCATAAATTCTTCTTCCTGATGACTCTCCTTCATGGTGTTCTGAGCCTCCTGCCTCCGGTCCCTGAATTTAGTTAAACACATCCTCAAATGTACCCACACCAATGGTGAAAACAAGACTTTATTCATCAGCCCCCTCCCGTGTTACACAGATCTCCTTTTACTGAGCACTAGCAACATTTGAGGGGGGGAAGAAAAGGAATCTGGAAACCAGGCAAGAAACAGGAAGTTTGGGAGGAAGGGCTCTTTCTGAGGTCTCCCATATGGAGCTCTGATATACTGGCCTGTACTGTGGAGCAGCCTTGGTTGGGGGCAGTGCCCTTGTGGCGCAAGGGCTGCCGCACTTAATGCTGTGTCATTTCATTTTATGCTTCCTCAGAAGTGGTCAGGGAAGGAGGCTTTCTTCTGCTTGTCAGTTGCCAGTTCTTTGATGAGTGTCATGATAAAAAAAAATACAATATTTGTATAACAACTCGGAACAGTGCGTATTTGAACGTTGCCTTTGACCAGGGCCCATCTGATGTTGCCTCACAAAGAACTTAGTAGCTGCTCGGAAGGCTTCCTGAAGAAGGGGGCAGCTCCACTCCCTGTGTGGCAAGCAGGGACCTAGCCCTGAAGCAGTTGTGGTAAGTGAGCCTGGTTCACTGAGTCCAGTGGAGAAAGGGACTCAGAGCTCTTTGGGTTGAGATCTTGACTTTGTATTCAGTCTCTAATTCCCCAGAAACCTACCAACTAGGCCTAGTGGCGCATGTGACTCCAATACTGTGAAGATCTCAGCAGGAGGATTAGAATTTTAAAGATCACATGAGTTTGAGGCCAGCCTGGAATATATGGTAGCCAGCTTCAAACAAACAAACAAACAAACAAACAAAGAAACAAACAAACAAACCAGGGACTTCAGAGAACCCAAAGAAACCTGTACACCGGATTTATCCATCTGCCCACCCCCTAGGCCTCCTCTGCTCTCTCAGTCTTTACTCCGGCCCCTAGGTCACAGTTTCTGGGACAAGCTAATGAATGGCCCAAGGAGGCAGCACTGACTGGGAATATAGTTGTCCCCTCAGTCTTCCTGAGATCCTCCCAGCTAGGAGACACACAGAGACAGTACGCATTCAGTATACCTCAGTTCAAGGTGCAAGGAGGTGGAAGAACCAAGACAAAGCCACATAGCCTGCTCCTAAACCCAGTGACCTAGGGTGACCCTAAACAAAAGCGCACAGTTTCAGGGGTTTGTTTTCTTTCTCTGTGTGTGTCTCTCTCTCTGTCTGTCTCTGTCTGTCTCTCTCTGTCTCTCTGTCTCTCTGTCTCTCTTTCTCTCTCTCTCTCTGTGTGTGTGTGTGTGTGTATTTTGGCCCAGGCAGCAGGTCGCACTGACCTCAAAGCCCTTATGCTCTGGGTGCTACAGCCAGAGTGGGAGCACATGAAGATCTGTTAGACACAGGACATACAGTTGGGAGCAAGCCCTGAGCTCAGTGGAACCTGGAGATTTAATGAGCATGTTTGCCTGCATCTCAGAGGAGCATCTTAAGGGGAGGACTCCCCACCTCCTCCCCCAACCCCTCCTTTGGAGGACCCTCTGTCAGAAAACCCACCAGGGAGCCATGGCACCTTGGGAGAGCTTTCAGGCTAAATCTCACCTCCGGAGGTGCACACAGAACATGCACACACACGATGACAGGGCTTTAGTATTGGTTCAATCAGTAAACGAAGAGCATGACATCCTGATCTGCCGCCGCGGCCATACTTACTTTACAGACTAGCCAACTGCTAGCCTGTGTCTTCTCTTCCTGGGCTCTGTGGCTCTGCCAGCTCCAGCCTGCACAAGCTCAGCAAAGCTCAGCACCACATCTTCCCGGGTGATAAAGCTGGGAGGAAGTGTTCCCGAAAGTTCTGGAGCCTTTGGCTCACCTTAATTAACATTTGTATGTGCCTGGGCAAGTCTGTGTGTACAACCAGCTCATGTTCCCCTCCTCTCCAAACACTCACAAAGTCCCTCAAGTGGAGAGCTAATTTCAGACTACAGAGGCAAACAAGGCCACCTTTCCTTTTGTGCAGTAGTTTTTGTTTTGTTTGTATTTTTTGTTTTGTTTTTTTGTCTTTGAACCTGACGCATAATCCTTAATGCCTTTTTTATTTACTGCCTAAAAATCTACATTGCTATCCCCTAGGCTGTGAAAAAAAAAATCCACATTCCATAAATTAAAACTTCAGACCAGGGGCTTTGAAGCAGAAATTCTCCCAGCTCCCTGTCCCCACACAAAACCAAAACCAAGTAAAAAGAAATAATGAAAGAAGAATAAGCTTTCTCTCTGCCTGGAGTGCTCATGTAATTCCTCCCTGTCAGGCAGCCATGGGGAGGCTAGGCAGGAGCAAATTAAGTGATTAGTAAAAAAAAAAAAAAAAAAAAAAAAGACCCCAAGGATGTGAGGAGCCCAAGGAAGTGGGGATATGAGGGAGAAACGTTGCCTGCCTTCCTGGCCGTTTCCCCTATGACTGCACAGAGGAGAATGGCTAAGAAATGATACTTGAAGTTATATTTATTATTGTAAGAGGGGTATGAGATTTCTAGGCAGGAATGATGGATGACAGCTTAAATTTGTGTCCAGGGAATGAAGGTGAACTGTGACAGAGTTATTTATCTTGGGAATGGAGGTTAGGGTCAGCCCAGGCTGGGTGCCTGAAGGCACAAGACATTGACAAATTTATCCTGCAGGCCGTATCTGAAGCCCTTTGTTTTGGATCCTGGCTTCTCAATAACTGACCCTCATCCTTCATGTTGGCAATTCATGAAGGATGCGGTGAGTGCCAGCGGGGGCCCCCTTCTCCCCCTCCGCCCCCACCCAGCTCCCTGCTACTAATTCTTGTCATTCACTCTGCTGACAGGCACCAAGCCCAAACTATTCCCAGTTCTGAAAGGGAAGGTTAAAATATTTATTTCGGCTCATAATGGCCTCTCTGATTTACTGCAGGATCTTTCCCCCCCTTGCCTTTGTCATTGCAGGTCACTGGAAGGACTGAGCGCGTTCGGGAGCCTGGAGGAGCTCATTCTAGACAGCAATCTGCTCGGGGACGACCTCGTGTTGCCACGGTTACCCCACTTGCACACCTTAACCCTCAACAAGAACCAGATATCCTTTTCTGGCGCCCAGGACATCAGGCCCCCGCAGCACCCCACTTGCTGCCCAGATCCACAGGGGTCCCATTCTGCCATCCCCACACCCTTCTCCGCAAAAATACCTGCAAAATGTCAAATGAGTTTTACGTGTCAGCTAAATTAAAGTATGTGAAATACAGTCAGTGGGCAGACAAAGCGTTCTGTCTTCTGGCACTCGGGACACTTCAGAGTAATTTATTATAGGTCATTCATAAATGAAATGCACCGTTATATCTTCCTGTTGCTCCATTTTAGTGTAGAGATCTAAGTTATGGCTGCGAGGAAATCTTTTTAATAGATAAAAATAGAGAAAGAAAATAATGTCACGGGTGCCTGGGAGGAAAAGCTGCTTCTCTTTGCGGGCGCTTGTGTGGGAGGGCGACCTCTGGTGGCAGGCCGTGGGTAATGCCGCTACGCTGACCTAGTCCTTGTAGGCTTCTGGAATGCTTTTGGTTCAGGCTAGGGGAACAATTTTGGAGATCAAGAAGGGAGAGAGAGCTGGGTGGAAAGAGAGATGTGAAGGGCAGGCTCTTCACTTCCCACGGATGCAGCTCTGGGAGTGATGACAGGCCTAGGAGAATCATGGTAGATTATGGCCTCCTTTGGGTAGGTGAGTATGTGCCCAGCCTGGGATGAGAATTAGTAAGTAACTGCCCTGGTTTCTATAATGAGAATAAGTCAGAAGGCTTCTCTAACAGCTCTAACAGAATAGGGTACATGGCACCTCCATCTGGCTTAGCCCGATGTCGGGATCTTTCCTGCACATAATCCTGCTTGGCAGAATTCACATCCACAGGTATTTGTGGGATGAACAACATATCCATTTTTACTAGTTTCTCACTGTACACTCTCGGGAATCATGCACTGTACCAGGAACTTTTAAGCACCCTGCTTCTTGTTCTTACCAGGTCTAATGAGGAGGGGTTTTCACATTTGCCTAGTCTTAGAAACTCTGAGGTTACGTATAAACTCCCAGTCAAACAAGGAAGGAACAAGATGAAGACCTGGATTCAAGCTCAGGCATTGTTCATACAGAGGGTCTTGGCTTGGGTTGTATCATTTTGTTCTTGGTTTTGCTACAGAGCCTTGGACTTGAAGCCTATTTGCCTTGACTTACTGATGTACTGATGTTAATCACTTGTTCCCATTCACACATGTTAAAAGTTAGAAAGAGAAAGAGAACCAACATCACCCCTCCTGGTTGTAAAGTAAAAGTAGATTCATATATGAAGTTCGGCGTGCATGCTTATATCAGCATGTGGGATGCTTTGCAAAACTCTTTATTAGCCCCCGTTGGTGCTTCAAGCCAGAAGTTAATATTTCCTTTATTCAGTAAAAATCATCTCAGCCAGCTCTTTCTGCTATGACAGAATACTGTTGACCAGGAAGCCACCAACAAGTATTCATCACTCATAGTCTGGAGGTGGCAAGTCTGAGAGCAGGATCCAGCATGAGAGGGACTTTGATGAGTCCTTTGCCTCTTCTTGCATTGGAGACAGAGCAGGAGGAGGGAGGATGAAGGCTGGAGAAGAGAAAATGTTCCTGTTTGTTCTTTTCCATAGATTAATCTATCCTATCATGTGCTCTACCTTTAGGACTTGATAACGTCTCAAAGGATTTGGAATTCAAACACTTGCATTGTGAGAGTGGGCATAAACAGTTAGTGATTCCCATATATGTTCCTTATGGCCATTCTTAGTGGACACTTCTGTAGAAATAGAGGAAGAGAATTTAGAAGTAAGCTCACAGTCTGTGTCATAATGAAATTTAGTGGAGTTTTCCTCATGAATCCTTTGGTCAACTAATTTCCGAGTGACTCTTAGGAAGCATGCAGTATTCTGTGTACTCTGTGTCTTCCTTGGCTGTCTCGGTGATTTGCTGGACCATCTGGGCAACTGATCAAGGAGAGAGGGATTATTAGACTAAACTGTAGACTATGTCATTCCTCCCTTGGGCCTCAGCCCATGTCTGTGTGCCATGCCACAGGATATTACACTCCACTGACTTAGTTTCCTTTGTCATCTTGGTCCTATTTAGCTGTGTGGCCTGGTACAAGTCACCTTCTAGGAGCCCTTTTTTTTTTGCTTTCAGAGACATAAGTTGTATAAGGTGGTGGGGTCCAGGGTGCTGGGAGATTGACTCTGTCTTTTGTCAAGTCCTTTTCCTATTCTGTGCCTTAACTTCCTTGAGCTGCAGTGGTAATGGTAAGAGAGTAAGGGGAATAGCCTTGGAAGTCGCCATGTTACTGAAAATCCTATTATATAACTATGATTTTGTAGATAATTTTGTTATCAATGGATACATACCACAAAGTATTGTTCCACTCAGGTTGTCATGTGATTTCTTTTCTCTCTCTCTCTCTCTCTTTTTTTTTTCCTTCATCTACTGGTACCATGACAATAGTCAGCTTCCCCATCCATTTCATCTGGAAGTTGCAGTCTGAAAGGTAGCCAAAGGTAGACACAATGTATGCCATCCTCTTAGCCTAGCACACTGACCCTACCTCTTCCAGTTAAGACTCCCTCCTTGTGAAAATGCCTCAGTCCTGCGCTAGTAGTGGGATGGGTATTGCTGATGCTATCCAATGAAATACCTCAGATACAGGCTCTGTCAGCTAGCTCACGTAGTGTAATGACTCACTCCACAAAGCAACAAATGCTCTATGCACTTCAATTCTGTGTGAATCAGGGCACAGCAGGATGGTTCTTCTGATGGCCTTATTTTGTGTCACTCAGACAGGCATTTTTTTCTTTTTCTTTTTCTTACCAGTGCTAGATAATCTAAAATAACCTCATTTTTATGTATGCAACTAGTGCTGGCTATTGGCTCAACTGCCTGTCTCTAATGGGCTGCCATACTACATGAAAGGATGAGTCTAGGACCCAAGCCCTGATGTTGCATGTGCTTGTCAAGTCCTACTTGTGTTATTGGAAGCTACATACCAACTGCAGAAGAAATGTGGGAGGTGACACAGGCGTGCAGACATAGAAGAGCTCATTTCTATAGCTCTCTACTCCACCAGTCTGGCGTCTCTATGGCATCTTATTTCATTTTCACAATAAAGTATCTTATTGGCTCTCTCACACACCAATCATACACATACTCTTCCTGGATTGTCCACCAGCAGCACTGAGGTCTTCTGTATTGATCTCAGTCATTTGATCTTGGAATATTCAACCCCAAGTAGGGGACTGACTGAAACATTTGGAAAGTATAGACCTTTGCACAATGTAATGATCATTTTCAGTCTTCCCTTTCGGGAAAACGTGGGCTTTATTTGGAATTAGACGTGAATTTCTTTCTCGGCATTTGTACGCATACGTGTGCTCCAGGTGTGGCAGTGCAAACGGAGAGACAGTGCTGCGTGAGATACAGCGGGGCTATGGCAAGGAGGTGGGGTACTGCAGCACACACCTGCACCTCACGCCTACACAAACATCATGTGCTCATGTGTGTTTGTGTGTGGGCCAGGCGCAGGTCCTCTGGGGCTGGAATTGTGGGTGGTTGTGAGCTGCCCTAAGTGTGTGCTGGGAACTGCACTCCCATGTTTTGTAAGAGCAGCCAGCCAGTTCTCTAGCCCCTGTACTTCACTTTTAACAGCAGTTTCTTATCATCTTGAAAGAGTGTGTTTTCTTTTTTTCAGGCCCTTGGTTTCTTATATAATACATGCTCCAGAGTTTTCCTGAGTAGAATAAGCAGTGTGATCTATGGGAAGCCGCTGTGTTAACACCCAAGACTCTTGCTGCTCCCTGGTACATTTAACTAAAATTTCTTGGTCCATTTAGATAAAACCACAGTGCTTTGAAAGCATAAGCCTAAACTGAAATATCCAAGACAGACAGCACAGCTGGATGACAGTGTCTGATCTTCCCCCGAAACACATTAAACTCTTCATTTTTCAGTCTTTTAATTTCACCCTTTGTACTAGAAATTGAGTCATTTTTCTCCCTGGAAATGACTTAGACTTGAATATAGTCTCTGTCATTTACTGGCTGTGTGACTCTTAACCTCACTTTTCTTAGTTATTTTTTTCTTGGCATGATAATATTTCTGATACATATGTGCATGCAGGGGTGCAAATATATGATCCACTTAACATTCAAAAGTCATTAGGGGAGATTTTCCCAGTGGTGCTAAAGCTGCTCCCTAACCTGGATATGAGCCCAAAGGTGGTGATGTTCTACTCTTAGCTGGGAAGCCACCCTGGCTTATGTGCAACAGGACCTGCACCCCAGAAGTCTCTTCTCCTCCATCTTCTCTATACTTGTAAGAAAGATATCAGTTTGATCTTGCTCTCTCCACACAGAATCACTCTTGGCAAGCCTCACCATGACAGCTGGGCTCCACAAGGGCAACTTCCTGTAGACACGGGAAAAAAAAAAACCTGAATACCCAGTCAATGGAGAAGGCTTGATGAAGGCAAGCAGGTGCATCTGAGAGTCTAGCTCGGGAGAGTTGACACCGTGACAGGGAGCTTGAAGAAAACGTGCCCTTCCAGTCATCTCCCAATTCATCTCTGCTGCCATGGTCTTCATTAGTTGGAGACCACAGACTTGCATCCATTCATTGTCCTGACTTAATTTTTTATACAACAAGTTCTATCTCAGCTCACTTTCAGGCAGGACAGGACTGTGTTTGTTCTTGTTGACCCAGGAGACAGAGAAGTCAATTAAAATGCAGAACATGTTGCAGGAAGTTCCAGGGCTTCTTGTCTGTGGATAACTACTTAGCTCACTCCGATTTGTCATTTAGTAGGTGGTTGGGAAGGTTTAGAAAAATGGAGTTTCCACTAGACTAAATACCCCACGTGAGACAGACTCCTGGAGATGCACTGGCTTCATTGATGGAGATAGCTGAAACATCTTGGAGCCTGAAAGTACTTTGCCCAAAGTGTCCATGACCAGGATATCTAATGGCATCTACCTCTCCAAAGAAAGACCCAGTTTGTATGTAGTGTCAAGATTAGATAACCAAAAAGAGCCCTCTCAAAAAGACAGGTTCGAGAACTAAGGCATAACCTATGTATGGGAAGGCTCTTTATAGACTAGAGGTGTGGATCCCTGTCAGAGCGCCTGCCTAGCAGGGATAAGACCTTGATTGGATCCCTAACAAAACTAAGAAGAGCATAAGGAGAATGAGTGTGAGAATGAAAACGAGTGTTCAATTGGAATAAAAATACATAAAGCAAATTTTAAAAATTAAGTTGACAAGAACCACAACTGTTAAAATAACTAGAAAGGACACAAATCTTCTTTTATCCTTGATATGCCTATTTTAAAAACCTTATTTTCTACAAATTCCCTTACAGTTACATTGCATAATAACATTTTTGATGTTTTCTATAGAGAGCGTAGAATGACAGTTCCATCTTTTAGCATGACTGACTGAAAACTGAGTTTTGGTTTTAGGAGTTGAGACATATTTATGTTATGATTTAGCTAGGTGTCTTCTAAAGGTCCACACACTGAAGGCATAGTCCCCAAAGCAACGCCTCTGGAAGTTGACGGAACACCAAGACAATGTGAGATGAAATAACTCCTTTCTCTCACTCTTTTTTGTTTTAGAACTAAATTGAATTTTATTTTATATTAATTACAGTTTATTTACTTTGTAACCCAGCTGTAGACCCCTCTCTCATTCCCTCCCAATCCCAACATCTCTCCCTCATCTCCACCCTGCCCCTCTCTAAGTCCACAATAGAGGAGGACCTCCTCCCCTTCCATCTGACCCCAGTTTATCAGGTCTTATCAGGACTGGCTGCAATGTCCTTCTCTGTGGCCTAGCAAGGCTGCTCCTCCCTCAGGGGGTTGAGGGGAGGTCAAAGAGCCAGCACTGAGTTCATGTCAGAGTCAGCCCCTGTTCCCCTTACTAAGGAACTCACTTGGATACTGAGCTACCATGGGCTATGTCTGAGCAGGGGTTCTAGGTTATACCAATACATGGTCCTTAGTTGGAGAATTAGTCTCATAAAAGACCCCTGTGCTCTGATATATTTGGTCCTTGTGGAGCTCCTGTCCTCTCCAGGTCTTACTAACTCCCCCTTCTTTCATATGATTGCTTTGTCAGGTATTTTGTCATAGAGAGACAGAACTGACTCCCATAGCTTGGCCTGTTACTTGTGGCTCCTACTACTTGGTAAGCTTCTCATCATCTTTGAAGAAGATCCTTAACCTTTGACACATTACTGATTTGGAACACCTCCTTGATCACCTGACAAAAGTGACACCAGCCCTAGAGTACCTCAGCCTGCTGGGAAATGTGGCATGTCCCAATGAGCTGGTCAGTTTGGAGAAGGACGAGGAAGACTATAAGAGGTACAGGTGAGTATTCGTATAAGAGATACAGGTGAGTATTGGCATGGTGGCAGAAAGAAAACAGAGAATCTGGGGCATATGGAATACTGTGTACAAAAAACATTGGTAAGTGTCCACGGACTTCTCATTACGCTATTAAAGTGTTGTCTTTTAGAAACAGAGTCTATGTTCTTCCTCTGTCAGGTTCATAGAAGGCAAAAAAGGATATGGCTAGTTGAGATCCTGGGCCAAGAAATGTTTCTCATCATGGGCTAACTCATATACACTTTAGGTTTTGCAGTTCTGTGGATTCTGTCATGACTAATGAACCCTGATGTCAAAGTGTCTCTTATAAAAGAGTGTTGTCCTTAATACCCTACTCAAATCAACAGAGGGGAGAAGGGGAGAAAGTATGCAGCTGGGGCTCTTGGGACGTAGCTCCGGGAGGGTTGGGGAAAGAAGATAATGGGCTGAGAGGATCTTGTCCTCCTGGAGTTTATTTAAAACTCTGACGACCTACAAAGAAATGTAGTAGGGATAATTATTGTGTATCAGGCTAATACTGTAAGACATACTGACCATTATTATAGATTTGTAAGAAAATAAAATTCCTATCACACAGACATAAACAACATAAAGCAGAGACTCAGTTGTATTTCTATAAAGAAGAATTTTGTGAATTCAGCTTTATTTCTAAGTTTTATTATTAATTTTGTAGAGCTTTTAGGCTATTCTTATATTGACTCAAATTAGAACCCCACTTGAAAAAATATACTCACAAAGGTCTTTCTCCATTTGGAATATTTTCAACCATGGTGTGACATTATTGATTGGGGTATGACTTCTGATAGGAGAAAAACAGTTGCCAGCCAGCCAGAGCAAGCTGCTAATTACTCACATTGAATCGTTTAATTGCTTAGAAGTGAAATGACTTCGGGAACATTCTTTTTCAACTTTGAATCATGAAATTGTCTGATCCATGGTGTGTAAAGGTGTCACTTTAAGCGTAGTACCTCCTTGTACCAACATTGTTGGAATAACATTTTTATTTTCATTATACTTATCAGTGCATGCTAATTGTCCCACTAATGAGATTCACTGTGATCTTTTCATATCACAATATATATTGCTCTTTGGTAGTATTAAACTCTCACAACTAGCTCTGGGCCCAACAATCTCCCTGCTTCTTCTGATCCACTTATCTTTCCTCAGTGATACCTCTTTTTTTTGGTTTAATTCTAGTTTCCATGCATAAGACCAAGCATGTGACCCCTATTTTGCTCTGTGTGATGAGCTTTTGCATTATGTAATGATGTATGCATTTTCTTACAGACAACATGAATTTGTTCTCCTCTGTGGCTTGAAAATATTCCATTGTATGTAAAAATGTTATCCTTTCATTTGTTGGTAGGCACCTGGGTATCATCCATATCTTGGCTAATGTAAGCACAAATTTAAAAAGCATTTTGGAAGGCCAAGTCCAAAAGAGTTTATTTCATACACATATTTCATAAACCAAACATTGTTTGAGAATTTCCTTTTGACTTTTTCTTCATATTTTTGCTTCATTTAAAACACACATGTAACTTTTATATATGTATGAATATGCATGTGTATTACCTATATATGTATATGCTCACCCATTCACACTTGTCCATTTATTCATTCATGCAACCAAATATAATATATGAGTACAAATGTAGATAAGTTGTTTGTTTGCTTCTTAGAATGAGAAAGAGAAGGGGGAAGGAGGAAAAGAGGGCTGGAGAGATGGAGAGAGGGAGAGAGGAAGAGAGGGAGGGAGGGGAGGGATGACTGAATGGGATGAAATTTCCATTTCCACCTTGTTCTGTTTGGTATCAGATATAGAGCTTAGAGAGGTGCAAAGGGAAGAGAAAAGCAAATAGTTCATTGTTGATTCTGTAACTGGTCAGATTGACAAAGAATAGAAAGATTCACCAGATAAGCAGGAAGATTAGAAAACCTAATATGGAGTTTGGTTTTGCCAGACAGATTTTTAAAGCAGGGGTGACTGTCTAGGCCGGTGGTCCTTAAGTGACTGAGTTAACTGAAAGTCGTGACTCGTTTGGCAGCAGGTCCATGCTTGGACTTCCTATCTCACCCTGTTATGTGTCCTGTCATGCATCTTCCCCTCGCTACTGTGGCCATGTCCATACTGAGAAGAGTAAGGGTAGAGTCCTTGTTCCTTGAAGCCTAATGCAGACCTGAGGTCATGTTGGGCATGGGGAGGCTAGGCTGGGGAAGTTTGGAATTATCCTTTTTACTTAGGTATCGGATCCAGATAGCAAGCAGCAACTACCATTCAGACTCAATCCAAGTCACAGTTGTGGGTCATGGTTCTTGTAGTAGGTTTGTTTCTATAGGAACAGTCCTCCCTGTGGATCTACCTGGGCAGTCCCCCAAGCATGTCCTCCTATCCCGGTCTGTGTGGCTGGCAGGATGTGAGAGATGGGCTGAGAAGGCTGTTTGTTAGTGTATTTATGACAATGTTGCCAGGAGAGACTGGATTCTAGAGCTTGCAAGCAGCCCAAATCACATCTAGCCACAATTGCCTTTGAAAACCTGTAAGTCATCCACACAGTGACTGCCAGGTCCTCACATTTGAAGGGAAGGCAGCCGCCAGGAACAACAGAGACGTTCAACGTGCCCCTGCCCAGTTACAAGTTCACTACGTCACCCCGTGAAATGCTGGAGCAGTTCTCTAGCGTGCTTACATCTTTTCTTCATTTTTTATTGGTGACTTTGTAAGCCTTCACCCCGCATTTGGTAGAGAGAGATGTGGGCACAGTGCGTCTTGGCAGCCCTGCTTTCTTTATCCTGGTTGGTGATACATTTACCCCTGAGAAATTTTAGGGCTTCACAACATGACTTTTGAATTCAGAGTTATTGTGGCATATGCATTTATGTAAGAGAGCACAACTGCTTGCCCCACGTTGGGTAAACTATGTTCCTGCCCCTTCATTTACAAAGCAGGAAGTCTACTTTCTCTGTGGCTGTTACCTAGGCCATCATAGTGGAGACTCTATGTAAATTTATGTGACAATTTTGCTAGGAAGTGGCTTAAGCAATGAATGATATTTCTACAGTTTACTGTTTTTCACTTTAAGTATGTTTTCTGACAATACTTCTTCTATTAATCATTTAGGCAACAGTAGGAGCCTTTCAGGATGCAGTCAGAAGCAAGAACCTATGGTTCATTTAGTGCTATTGAGAAAATTTTCTATTGATTGGCATCCTCTGTGGTCATGTGATGTAATATTTATGTCACCCACCATACATCAAAACAAGTGTGTCTGTTATTTGGTTTCTCTGGGAGATGTGGATTTCAAAGAGTTCAGTTCGGTGTTAGTTTGTGTTGTGGCCCAGTCACCAGACTTGGAGTGGGAAGTGGCTGGGTTTATGTACACTGTGTCCTGTGTCCCTCTTCCTCCCCTTTCCCTGGTGCCTCTGGCTTCCTCATTTACTTGTATGTGCCCTGTGGATTTTCTTGGCAGACATCCCCACAGTAAAATAGACTCATTAAATTTCTCTGTGAACACAGACACACTGCTGAGTGGTTGGACAGAGCCCTGGACCTGCTGTGGTAGGAGCAGAACCATGTCCAGGGTTCCCTTTGCCATTTGCCAATGCTCATGGCCGCCTTATCACAGGGCCTTGAACCCAGTTCTGCTGTTCTGCCAGTGGCTATGAATTTGGGCCTTTTGCAGATTTCGATACCATCCAAAATCAAAATAGTAAGTCAGGGGTGGGAAGCCAAGGTGGTCAGAATGGGTCATCCTTTGTCTTTCCTGGCGATTCTTTTGAGGGAATAGGAGATAGACAATTTCTCAGGTCTCAGGCAGAGAGAGAGAGAGAGAGAGAGAGAGAGAGAGAGAGAGAACTATATAATAAATATGGTGAAATTCCAGGATGGGTGGCTTTTTCCTCATACTATTGACCTGAGAGAAAGGCCTGGCAGCTTTAAAATAAAAAGACTTTTTATCCCCCTACCACTGCACCCAGCCTATGGACAAGTCCAAGGCCAGACCAGGATGTGTTTACCCCAGAGGTGAGGCCCTGTCAGCTTCTCTGCCTTTGTTAAACTGATCAACCCTAAACTGGGGAGAAAGATTTTCCCTTACAGACCCTTAAATCTTCAGCCCACAGGAAGAGTCAGAACTTTGGTTTCCAGGTTCCCTCTCTGCTTTACAGAGGGTTTTTTCTATGTGTGCCTGCTATATGGGTGTGTTTCCTCACCTCAATAAAAGCCTTCCCTCAACCACTGATTCTGTCTGCTCCTGTTCTCTGTGTTCAAGATTTCTCTGCTGCTACCTGTTTTGCTCCAGATATCTCCTGCCTTCTAATTCTTTACCTGAGAGAGAGAGAGAAAAAAAAAAAAAAACCATCAAGACCCCTAGATGCTAACACTTCCTTGTTTTTTTCTTCAGGAAGAATGATGGCTGAAAGTCAACAAAGAATAAATGCTGAACGTCACCTTTCAAATAATAACCTGGGCTCTCAGGCTTGAGGCTGTTCTTTTGTGGCTTAGCTCTGTTGTGCATTTTCTTTCAATTTCTTTCCCTTCAGGCTGTGATTACTACCCCCACCCACACAACCCCTGCCCCAGTAGGTCCCTCTGTATTCCTTAAAACTTTAAATAATTTAAAATATGATGCCCTTTCTTTGTTCTCTGGTAGGCAGCAGTCCTGGGGCCTGCCCAGTGTCTGTAGCACTCCACCAAAGGAAGGTGGGAGGGACCCTCCGGTGGTGTCTGGGGCCACCTTGGCCTGCCACCCAAGGCTGTTTCCCACTAAATAGGAGCTGTAAAACCTGTGGCTTATATAAGCCAGCTAGCATTCCCCCAGCTAATCTGCAATCTGGGCTTTGATGATCACAAGAAAGCAAAGGTCATGACCCAGCGATCAAAGCGACAGAAGCCCACACAGTAATTGCTGGTTACCCTCCATACAGGCCCTTAGACTGTCCTGTGGGTGTATCATTTGCACGGAGACTTCAAACATGCTGCC